GTCAGTGAAAATCGAAAAATCGCGTCGCGTTGTCGAATCGCGTCCAGCGTGTCTGGACCTTTAATGCGCAGATACATGTACGCGGTCGCGTACCTATTTTTTTATTTGTGAGTTCGAGAGGTAGTTTCGTTTAAGATCTCAATCACTGAACTCTTTAGCTATCTACTTTAGGTTGTGGATACCCCTGGAATACTTGATCATTCTCTCGAGGATAGAAATACAATAGAAATGCAGGTAAATCTTACATGTACTTGTATATCATACATGCACGTTTGGTATTTGTATTTTAGTGAAATGGAACACTGAAAATGTTATTTTTTGCGTGTGTTGGTGTTATGAATATGATGTTTGTGGCGTTACTCTGAGTGTGCATCCACACCGGGCAAGATGGAAAGTTTGCCTGACCACAGTGGGAATCGAACCCGCGACCTTTTGGGATACTAGTCCAAAGGTCGCGGGTTCGATTTCCACCGTGGATGCACACTGAAAATGTGTCAAAAAATGTTTGTAAATAAATACGCTCTATAAGGTGCTTTTATATAGTTTTTACGAATGACTTCGAGGTACAGTACATACGTCGATATAAAGCCATATATATCTGATCTCCATATATATCTGCAGTGAGAACTCGAGTTCAAAAGTGAAGCCAAGATGGAGCTATTGGACGTCTGTTTCAGTCGCTTTCTATTGTTTTTGTCTACGTGATCAGATACGAAACTTCATGGAGTGTGCCGGAATTCCGTGTTTTGACTTCGATTTAAAGGTTAATATTATGATTTCATGAACTGATAACTTGATTAGCGATACGGTCCGTTAGCTGGGAAAAGTGGCCGTCGTAGATATTGGACATCAATTCCGCCATTTTAGCTTCACTTTTCTCGTGGACCAAAAGACTGAAGTTCTTGCTCCAGATGTATATACAGGTCACTGTATAAAGCCTCCTAACCAAACCATCGTGAAAGATTTTCGTTTATTTTCCCCTCCATTGTTCAGGCTATTACAGCTCTGGCTCATTTACGAGCAGCTGTCCTGTATTTCATGGATCTGTCAGAACAGTGTGGTCACACCATTGAAGAACAAATACAACTGTTTACAAATATCAAACCATTGTTCGTAAACAAGCCTATTATTGCTGTCATGAATAAGACTGATATCATACGTCCTGATGAACTAACTGACGAGAACAAGAAACGCCTTGCGTACTTTAAAACTGAAGGTAGGTAGATCTACTGAGTACTGTACTTATAGAAACAGATTGACGTTTATACGATAAGAATATAATTTTTAAATGTTAAAATGTCATTTAAAACGTTCACAAATCAATCTCCCAGTTCTACTCCTAGGGAGTGACTGCTCATCATTTCTTAGTTTGTAACCACAGGGCAATATAGATACATACAGTACAAGATGGAGCTATATAGGCTGAGTGATGTTATGAAAAGTCAAATGACAAATGTTCTTCTTTCAGAAGGGCGAGAACACCCACTAATGATTTAGACCTCTACGTAATGCATATTAGGATAGAGGATCGTAAACGCACGTTTCCGCATCACATTTCAATTTTCACTATGAAGATATGGGTAGAAAAATGCACTTGTATTGTCACGAAGTTAAAGAGTTCTTTAGCATAGAGAAAATTAGTTTAGTCCGCGGTTATTAATTTTGGATATAAAATCATGTCTTGCTGTACATTGAATTCGTTTGTAGGTATTACTACTGTTTGTACCAGTACAGTCACAGAAGAAGGCATAATGAATTTAAAAACTGAAGCATGTGAACGACTACTTGCACAGCGCGTTGAAACAAAAATCAAGAGCAAAAAAGCTGATGGTATCCTAAATCGTATCCACGTAGCTACTCCGGCACAGAGGGATACAAAAGACCGTCCTCCTTGCATACCAGAGGCGGTGTTGAACCGCAAAAAGATGATGGAGACAGACAGCAAACCGAAAAAGAAATTAGCAAAGGAAATTGAACAAGAAATGGGTGACGATTATCGCGTAGACTTACAACAACACTGGGTTTTGGAGAATGAAGAAGATAAAGTTGATATTGTTCCTGAAATTTATCTTGGTAAAAATATCGCAGATTTTATCGATCCAGATATTATGAAGGTAAAAATGAGTAATGGTGTAAAGTGATCGCGAGCAGTTGTCTTATTCTTAAGATTATTATTTCTGCATTAGAATGTTTTGTAACCAATATTTTTAGTTATAATAGAAAAACGCAGGAAACATAAAAAAGATATAAAGGCTTTGCTTCAAGACAATGTCTGTTTTTTAGACTGCTGAAATGTGAAAAAAAAATTAAATTTTTTTTTTTTAAATCTCCACATTTATATTTTTTGTTATTCCTAGAAACTTGAAGAACTAGAAAAGGAGGAAGAACTTAGGGAAGCAGCGGGAGAATATGACAGCGATATGGTAAGCTGCATTTCGTAATTATAGTTTTATATTTATAATAAATCGACGACTTGTAGCTTTTGAATACACCCTTTCGATGATCACGTCACGATTAACCAATCGTGGAACCCCTTGGCTGGGAGCCTTGCTCTATATAATCCGGACGAAAGGTTATTCGCTAAGGAAGGATTTGCTACGTAATTGTGGGAATGGCGTATTGAATGATGATGCATTAAACTCTGTGCCGTCAATAGCACCAATAATTCATTGAATTTAAAAACAGATCTTTATCTATGCCACTGGCATCGATAAAATCTCTTCCAAAATTATTAAATTAGCTGCACCTGTTATCTCAGATTCACTGACACTTATTTTCAATCAGGCTATTACTTTATCTTCTTTTCCTGATGAATGGAAGGTTGCTAGAGTGATGC